AATGTAAGAATACAGCTTTTCTTTACTCCAATTAACGCGTTTTCCATTATTGAATGCCATTTAAGTCTCCTCTCAAACACCGAAAAAAAATACAGCTCGTAAACGTTTCTCTGACCGAGCACGTGAAAATATATTGAGGGAAATTATGTCTATTATGTATATGCTTGGTTGTTTGTTGCTGAAACTGGACGTGACGTTCTAGCACCCTTTCAAAATTATGAGAGCAAAACGCTGCTTTGGGCCATTACTAATGCAGTTACGAAACCTTCTCAATTAAGTGCTGTCATTCAGATTGTGTTATCAGACGCTGAACAGAAAGTCCCATCATAACACATATCATGTGCCCAGATGATGCACCATTCCAGATGGGGATTCTGTCTTATAGCTGTCAACACACAATCATTTTCTCATTACATAAACAGCAGGGATTTATCTCATAAACCAATATTGGTATGGTTCACCTGAATATTTAGGTGTCAAGTCACTGCTTTGGGAGTCTATGCACCACACACGTAAATATTCTTGAAATCATATGAGGGAGCTTCAACACTGATAATAATAATAAATGTTTTCGAAGTACCAAATCAGCATTAGAATGGTATCTGAAAGCTTTGCCATCACAGGAAATAATTACATTTTAAAATGTATTAAAATAAAATATAAAATGGTTATTTGAAATTGTAATGTCACAATATTACTATAATTTTGATCAAATAAATGCTTCCTTGATTAACATAAATATATTTTTTTATAATATCAACCCCAAACTTTTGAACTTTTATAATATAATATAAAATATTCCTGGTGGAATTTATCAGGGCTTAGTAGCAGTTAGTAGAAAGTTATCATTTGATTTCATTATTAACTGAGAAAAGATTTATCTTTCGACAATGACTTTTGTGCCTCTCAGGATTAAAATGTAAAGCTGTACTTATCTTATCTTCACTCCAACTTGAAACACAAACCAATATAAGGTCAGTCATTGCCCTTGATCAGTTCCTGTGATAAGAGGTGAATGTGTGAGAAGACAGACATGGGGTAAAAACATGGACACTACAATTGATATTTGAGCCCTCTGTCTAATCTCAACAGTGCCATCAGCCAGAAGAGGTCATGTCTGGCTAATATGAGGCATTAATATATATTTTTATTATTATTGTGTTGTGTGGCACTCAGGGACTAGAATTAAATCTTGTGCATTTGCTCAAGCACTTCCTCATACCTTATATTGAGCTGACGACTGCAATGCAAAAAAGAAGTCATGTTTTGCGAGTACATGTGCAAATTCTGACTGGCTTAGTGGATTAGCTCCCTCATATGATTTCTGGGGAGGTGAGGGTTGGTATAGCTGGAGGAGAACTGACTGCAGACTGAGGAGAAAAGGGAACACACCTACACACAGACATATCCCAGACCCTACATCACTTCAGATGTCTTGCTTCACAGACAAGAGACAAAAACACCCAACTCAAGTTTGTGTCTGTGTTTGTTGTAGGGATGAGACAACAGAACAGTGAGAGAGAAAAGGGACACAGAGAGATTTAACCTCAATTATCCTTATGAGCAGAGACATCTTATGAGAGGCTGTGAGTAATGTTCTAACCGGCCACTGGATTTGAATAATATCTCTTGGAGCAGGCCTCCCAAAACCCCTAGAAAAACAAAAATACAAAGGACTGCAATCCTACAGACAACTGAGGTCACTTTGCTGCATGCAGCTGGCAGGAAACTTTCTGATTCAATCCAGCATTCCATTTAAAAAAACCGGAGGTCTCACACATTAGTTTGAAGTGGAAACTAAAGCATCGTGGCATGAATCAATAAATGTTGTCAAAGAAAAAAAACCTTGACCAAATTAAAATAGGAGATTTGCTTTATATATGCTTTATGTTCTGGAAACTGATCCAAAAATGTTGATGACTCATCCTGCAATATGCAACTTTGTCCAATAAAATGCTCTTTACATTGACAATGTACCTTCACTTAACAGTAACATGTTGGAATGATTTATATATTTCTGTTGTAACACATATCCTCAAATATCTCAAATGATGGCTAAATAGTAATACATAGATCATTTATCACAGCTTAATGTAGTTCCCCTTCAGGAACTTGAGCTGCGTCGAGTCGCTTTGGGAACGCCCTTGCGTGACCGCGTTCTGAAGCACGTGTCAAATCAGTCCAATGGAGCAGCGAGACGTCACAAGTAGGGTAACGTAAGCACCAGAAAGTATAAAAGCGCATCCAGCAGAGCGCAAACCAGCTTCTGCTCTTCAGTAGCGCTCTGTATATGTGTCTGTCTATTTACTGTTGTCTGTCCGCACAAGCATATATAAAAAACAATCATGAAAAAGTTTATGGCGAGCGAAAAGCATTACAAACGCTGTGTTTCTCCTTGCCCACGATATCTGGCGCCGGGGGATACACACGATTTGTGTGTCGTTTGTTTAGGAGCGGAGCATGCACGGTCAGCTTTCGAGCAGCTGATTGTCATCACTGCGAGCTGCTCTCGCTGCGCACGCTCCGCTCTCGCCTGGCTGTGTTTGATGAGAGCGGCCAGGCTCGCGATCCCGCTGGCAGCAGTCCTGCTGTTGCCGAGGCACAGCGCAGACTGTTGTTGTGGGGATCACGGGTGGAATTA